AAAATTTAAATCATTGCAATAACATATTTATTTGGTTTAATTGTGTGCACTCAACGCTATTTTAAAACATAAAAAAGGAAATCAAAGATTCTAATGGACGACAAACTACAACACCAATTTTGTCAAAACCTTGATCCACTCTGTCTATTCCTTCTTCTTGTCCTTCAATGACCCTTGGGAATTTTACTCAAAATTTTCCTCACAACCTTTTCATCAAACACAGCGTATTGCTTCTTGATCTCAATTAGTGCCTTCTCAGCAATGGATCAATCTTGTCCTCGTATTTCTCATAAATCACAGGCACGGTGTGGAGCAAAACAAGGCTGTTTCCACAATCAAATTCAAAATCCAAAGAATAGGCAGAAAATAGCATCTTCCTTTTATAAAAGAGGAAAAATAATAAACGGATCACTTACATATGTAGAACAAGGTCAGGAAGTTGCACCAACTACCCACGATTGACAGAACCCACAAACCAGCAATGACCTAATTAACAAAAGAACAGAAATATGTCAATTGCATAAAAAACAATGCAGTAGTTATCAATTTACCATATACTTGGGTGGACTACGAGATAAATATAAAGTTCATTGCCAGTATGCTTTTGTTGCCACTGGACTTTGGTGTGAATCCATAAAACTCAAGCAACAAATGCAAGCACTTGCAACATAAGTTAATGTCTAAACAGTAGAGCTGTATAAGCAACATACACCAAGAAATTTCTTCAACTCTCTCCAGATGCAATATCTCGAGGCAAGCCAAGCCTCGGTTAATTTCATATGTCAGAGCAGAAGCAACATCCACGACATGCTTTTCATGGATTTTAACATCTGGAATTTGACGAGGTGACCTATTTCAAAGAAAGGAGAAATTTAAGGCTTAATAGAATTCAAAAGACATTTAATGATAGGGCAAATACCCAAGACCTTACTTGTTGATAAACTTGGATGCATTGGACCACAAGAAAAGGACAGCAAGAGCAAGTATCAATAAATGGCAGACCAGTGTAAGTAAGTGGTATTCAAGTAATTCAAAGAGAATCCACAAGCAGTGGCACCACCAAGCACACCTGCAGAGATTTTCTTGTTCCTCCATAGAAAACATCAGCAGCCGTAACAAAAGATTGACAACTTGAAATGAGAATTGATGAAAAAATATAGTGTACAATTGCATGGGTACATCAGTAATATGAAATAACATCAATGAATTGGCATTCCTACAGTTCTAAATGCACTAATTGGAGCAGGATACAGAAGTCATCCACCATGAACCTGTGAAGCAAGGAAAAATAATTAAGCGGCCATGTCTTGTGGCACCTGAGCATGTTCAGGCCATGAATAAACTAGTTTTTATGCAGCATACAGATTTTTAGCACACCAATTGCCAGGTTACTTTTGACTTCAAATGGAATAAATTAAGATAACATCAACCTTCATCCATCCTTCTGGCGCATTGAATGCTCCAACATGATACTGAGGAAGTTGTGTATTAGGTCCTCTATATCTCCCATGCTTGGTGAGCCAGACTGTTCGCTTGCACTCATCTATCAGAACAAGTCATGCAGTTATATTTATGACAGAAGTTGGCATGTAAATGAAAAATTTATCCAATAAGATAATATGCTTGTAGCTATTACTAAGCTCCACCATTTCCTACCTAAGCATTGCCTTTGTCTCCATATGCAACTAAAGTCATTTACTTAAAGAAAACATCTTTGACATAAAGAGACTGAAGTTGGCTCAGATTACCTCATAGTTAGAGATAAGAATCTCCAAAATCCACTCAGGCCATTCCTCCATGTTAATCAGAATACTTCTATTTTCTGGATGACTGCAAGCCAAAAACAGAAGATCCTGAAATCATATAGAAAGGAACAGCTCAGGAAACACCATGAATACCCTGAACCAGTAGAAGTGAAAATGTGAAAGAAAAATCATTCCCTTCATTTTCTGACCAACAAAAGACAAATTTTACCTTCTTTTTTTTTACCTGCAGAGCAAGAACAGAGACGAAACAATCACCGACCACGCATGCAGAGGATCTTTATCTTCAGGCAAATACTCATTAAAGAATCTAAGTTGAGCACAGAATTTCGCACAAGGCCCTTTAATTCTCCTGAATCCTCTCCAAGATAAATGAAAACAAAATAAATGAATCATCAACGGAGAATATAGTGTTTGATATCAATTAAGGTAGTAGTGAAAGCTGCTCGGCCAATATCTATGGCTCTACTAGCATCGCAACTTTCTTGAACATAAGAAATGAGCTGTAGCACTTTCTTGCGCCGGAGGTGTTGATTAGCACTCCAGTTTTTGAGTAGTGAAAATATTCGAGTTGCTGATTTTCCTGAGAGTTCTCCACTCAGTGGAGGCTGGTAGCCAAGCCATGCTGAAGTCATCATGTCGTGGGCGAGGAGGGCGTCGGGGACGGAACAACCCTTTGAGTTCTTTATGAACAGCAGATTATAAATTAGAAAGCAAATAATCAGGAGCATCAGGACCGTTAAATCCTTCATAATCCCACCAAAACCGGCAACTGGCTGTCCGTGCACCGTTACGTTGCTGGATTCTGGCCGTCGACGGTGGTTGCCGGCGGCCGACAGTGGCTGGGTTAGTGGGGGTGTATTGTTCATTTTCCAAAGGGCCTGTTTTTGCTAAGTCTTTTAAAGATAGGGAGTTATAAAATCTAATAATATTATAATAATAATATTTAATTAAAGGGTAATTCAGTAATTTAAACAATATACCCACAAATTTATTACTTCTAACCAAACATATTATAAAACATACCCATCAATTTATTCCAATTAACCAAAACATTTTTATAAAGATTCCCAATAATCTTCAAGGTAATCTATCTTTCCAGTAATCTAACATTCTCAGTAATCTAACATTTCTCAACCAAACGCCCCCTTTTTGTTATTTCAAAAACCTTATGCCAAAGGGACTATGCTTTAACTCTTTTAATAATATTAAAAGTTTATTATTAATCCATGAATTCTGGACTTCTGGTAATAAAAATTCCTCCCGGCTCAGTGTTTCTGATAACTCCTAACAATTTTCCCACCCCCTTACTACCCCTTTGATTTACAGCTGTTTATAAATCAGATCCCAGCCTACCAGATATCCCCCATTGGTACAAGTCTGATTCGAACTCATCTACAAATCCGCTCACCCTACATTATGTCTTAGTTTGCATTGTTTCCTTAATTTTCGTATGCTTTTGAGCGCACTGCTCTTTCAGATTCCCCTTATGCGTTGGCTATGGTATGTCCTTGTATTCGATCCACACTGACCGCTGATCCCTCACACAACACAACGTACATCCTTATTTACCTGGCACAGGTTAATTCAGTCTTTTTTTTTTTTCAGACTTCAGCCCAAGATTTCCGCTCTGTAAAGTCACACACATTTGTTTTCGTCACATCACCTCCCAATACACCCAATCTTTTTGCCGCTCGTACACACAAAAGTCCTGCACCACAACCTAAAACTCAGTCCGATTTCTAACATCCGTTTGCCGGCGCGGCTTTCTTTATGCCAGTATGTTAACCTTTGAGAAACAATCTGCCTTGAATCACCACATTGAAGCTAATGAATGACAAGCTCCCTTATTTAACGAGCGTGACGAGTTACAGATTACGCGCAATGTCGCAGTAGCCACCGTTTGAAAGTAAGACAGCTCGACTCCCCTCCCCCTACAGCCCATCCCCCCGAACCAGTTACACTCACTTCAGATACCCAAGATAGACCCTTCGGTTTTCCAGTTTGCCCATACCTGTATAAAGGTGACCCCTTTCTCCTGTTAGACAATTAGCCTCAAGTTCGACTGTTTTTCCATCGCGGTTGCTATTTTGTTTGTTTAGTGAAATCAGTATAGCCGTGCCCCGCGGCTACCGTGTTCGCGCTTTTGTGATACCTCCTATGTCAGTGTAAACGCCACCGCGCACACCGCGCTTTTGTTTCGTATTCACGTTTCGCTTTACCCTCATCTAATTGTCGCAACTAATGTTGGACGTTTTTTTTGTTCTAGTCTCCTTGTTGGCTTGCCCCCTTACCTCGATAGAGCACACAACAACTTTGCCGTTTTTTTGCGTCTTTCTCGGGCCTTTTCACCTTTCCTAGCGCAACAAATAACGTGCGGTGTCTGCCCCTGTCAGTTTCGATTGCAGTAGTATGTCAGTATGCGACAGACATCTAGCTCTACTAAGTTTCATGCCGCCCTTGCGTAGAACTCAACGATGATGTTTTAGTGTTTATTTTTCATTGTCTTGGCCTGTTCAAACCTATATCATCATCTTTTAACTTTTCGCCGTTTTGCCATTTCTCTAACATCCTCGTACGTGTTCTGTGACCTCACCTTTTCGCGTTCTGCTCACTCAGGTTACTCTTTTGTATCTGGGGTTCTATATTCACAGACAGTTGAAATATGGATCTCTATTTGGGCAAGGCCAATCCTTGACTAGGTTGCCTGGGTTTTAAGTTAAATGTTGGACCTGGTTTACTTGTTGATCTATGTTCTAACTGGAAGTTGAGGGCATAATGTTGCTCCATAGGACGCCTTATAAGAAAAAATAATATCGTTTCCAGCAGCAGTAAAAACAGTGGAACCAATTCTCTAGAAATTACTCAAATAAGGCCTTACATATGCAAGTTATTCTCTTCAATTTCGCTTTTTGGATATAAAATTTTGGTAGTTTGAGAATTAGCTCATTGTGTACACTTCAATCGTTAAAATTTGAAAGGTAATGTTTCTATGATACACATTGTTGTTGATTCCTGGGTTGGCACATTTCATTGATAGATGTCTATTTTTCATACCAAGATGAGGACATAAAATCACTGTTTTGGGAGTTATTCACTATGATGTTTGATTTATCACTTTCTAGTTTATACTCTATTCTTTTCCTGTGTGAGTAAGATACTCAGCGTTTTATTAAAAGTTACATCATTTATCAATGTAGGGATTAGAAGAGTAGTGGTGAGCTGTTGGATTTGAGAGACGCGGTGGGAAACTTAGTGGCAATGTGCGGACAAAATACCTGGCTTTTTGGGTAATAAAGTGTCCCTATTTAGGCTCAATGAAAAATCTTGAAGAAGAGTATGATGCTGATTTTCTCCTGGCATTGGAAATGTATCTATTAGGAAGTTTCCTACTAAGGTTGTAGGAGCGTATTATGTTTGGGAAGAGGTGAAACTGAGAGTGGTTGTCTGCTCTCTTGGAATTAAGGGTATGTTGGAAACCGTATAAGTTTTATGGAGTGAGATTCCTCCTTGATGCTTTTTATTTACCATATGTATTAAAACAAGGTGGCTCGTCTGCAGTTGCTACAAGTGTTCAAACATTAAAATTATGACAGTGTTCAGGCATCAAGTTGCTCAATGGAGCACTAAGTGACCAATGGAATCTTCCGATGGAATTTGACCCCTTCAGCTTAACTGATAAAGATTCCTTTTAGTGTTAAATGATACTTTTGTTCTAGAGAATTAGACTTCAGCGATGCTGTATTTTTCTAGCTATGAGATAATTTCAGGACAGTTTTTTTCCTTCTGATTCTCAAATTAGATCAATTGTTGATCTGTTGGTTATAAATGTAATTACTTCGAAATATTTTGCTTGATGTTATTATGTGGATCTTGGTAACTGCACTAAAATTACACTTTTCACTGTAGAATATCTGAAGAAGTTGTGGAAATGAAGCATGAGCTAAGGGAGCTGCGAAAGCATATTTCTGGTCAAAAAATCTTCGTCCAAGATCTGATGACTGGGGTTTGCCGTGAATTGGAGGAGTGGGCAGGACCTAATGGGAAAATTGATGAATCCCAGGAAGACTCGGAAATTTTGGAACTTCAAGAGCCCTTGCCAGATGAAATAGATGACCACAAGATGATTTTCTTGGATAAATTTGATGTTCTCTTGGCTGAACATAAGGTTGAAGAAGCATTAGAAGTTTTAGATGCTGAAGAGAGAAACTATCCAGAACTGAAGGGCTCCGCTGAAGCTTCATCAGCTGAAGCGTCCTCGTTTAAGACTGCTTTCTTGAAAAGAAAGGCAGTGCTTGAGGATCAGCTGGTTAAGATTACTGAACAACCTTCAATTGGTATTCTCGAACTGAAGAAGGCCTTATCTGGTTTAATCAAACTTGGAAAGGGTCCCTTAGCTCACCAATTGATGTTGAGATCTTATGGGTCCCGTCTTCAAAGGAGCTTAGAGGCTTATCTTCCTTCGTGTTCTGTATGTCCCAAAGTATTTCCAGCCACAATAGCTAAGCTTGTTTTTTCGACAATCTCACTGGCAGCAAAAGACTCTGGTACAATATTTGGTGATAATCCCGTATTTACTAACAGAGTAGTTCAATGGGCAGAGTGGAAGATTGAATTTTATGTACGGCTGGTGAAGGAGAATGCCCCACCTTCAGAAACAATTTCTGCTTTACGTGCAGCCTGTGTTTGTGCTCAGGCAAGTCTTAACTACTGCTCAATGTTGGAATCACAAGGCATGAAATTGTCGAAGTTGCTTTTGGTACTCCTGCGACCATACATTGAGGAAGTCTTAGAGTTAAATTTTAGACGGGCTCGAAAAATGATATTCTACTTGGAGGAAATTGATGCAGGCTTGCCATTGTCCCCTCACTTTATATCTCCATTGTCTGAAATTTCGGCGTTGTCAGATAGTGTGCTTGTTGATAGTGGAATGCGATTTATGCACATTGTCGAAGTAAGTAGGTCCTCTTTCATATGTTGAGACGACAATATCTTTTTGTTTTTTGTCTTTATGCTATCCTTGCTGTCTTATTGACGTAGACATAGTTTAACAATTAAGATTTGAAAATGATGTCTTTGAGAGGTTGCTCCTGAAAAATCAGTCTAAGCTCATTGTTTTGGACAATTGATTTATTTGATGCACTTTAAACATTTCCTTTTATTGGTTATGTGGTGTGAAGAGAAAACCCTTTCTAAATTCTAAGGGGGAATGCATCGCTTTGCTTAATCCATGGCTTTAATAGTGGAGCAGGAGAACTTATTTTTTTTATTATTATTTTTTTTCATTGTGGTTTACAAGTAAGATGATTACATTGCTTTGGTCAACTTCCATACACCTAACTGCATGTCAATTTATATTTTTCTCAATATATGCTTAGGACTTTGTGTTGAATATCCTTGTCAATGATAAGTATGTTCTTTTGAATGTGTCTGTATTTGTTAAGCATGGCTTTACATTTTAAAATCAGTCATGGTTAGATCTTTTGCCATATCCCTCTATATGTTTATGTGTGTTCTATTGATAAATTGGTACCCCTGATGACCCAACAACCAATTGTTATATAATATTAGTGTTGTTAAATAATTTTTACAGGATATTTTGGATCAGATCACCCCCCTAGTTGTTTTGCATTACGGAGGAAATGTGTTAACTAGAATTTCACACCTGTTTGATAAATACATGGATGCATTAAATAGAGCCCTACCAGGTACCTCAGATGATGACAATCTTACAGAGCTGAAGGAGGTCATACCTTTTAGAGCTGAGACAGATTCAGAACAACTTGCGCTTTTAGGAATAGCATTTACAATTACGGATGAACTTTTACCAAATATTGTGTTGAAAGTTTGGAGTCCCAAGAATGAGAACAAAGAACCAGGAGATGGAAACTCTGCGCCTAATGCAAGCACTACCCCTGAACTAAAAGATTGGAAGCGCCATGTTCAGCATTCATTTGACAAACTAAGAGATCATTTTTGTCTGCAATATGTTCTTAATTTCATTTATTCAAGAGAAGGCAAAACACGATTAGAGGGACAAATTTATATAAGTGGAAATGAAGAACATTTACAATGGGTATCGGAGCCTCTGCCTTCACTTCCATTTCAGGTTATCTTTCTTACTGGAAAGCTTAAATTTTCTTCTATGGTTTTTTTTAGCTACACTTGATGTTTTTACGGTTTCATTCAGCAGTCATAATGAGATTTTGGAAATCCTGTGAACTTGCATAAGTATGTTGACCTTTTGGTGTCAAACTGGGGCTTTCGTTTTCATTGAATTCTCAGTTTCATTTTTTGCATTCAGTCATTTAACGGTTGTGAACGACACATTTCACATCAATTATTCGTCTATTTCTAATTATGAGATTTCACTGTATTATTGCAGGCATTGTTTGCAAAGCTTCAGCAATTGGCTATTGTGGCTGGCGATGTGCTCCTTGGAAAAGAGAAGTTGCAGAAAATTTTGCTTGCTAGACTGACTGAAACAGTCGTGATGTGGTTGTCTGAGGAAGAGGAATTCTGGGGTGTTTTTGAGAATGAATCATCTCCAGTTCAGCCACTTGGGCTGCAACAGGTAAGAGTTATCTCCTCGCCACAATAAATATATTGCATTGGATTAGTTTACATTTCAACTTCTTTTATCCTTCTGGACAATATGATTTCTCCAAACTTTATTACATCGTCTGATTGAATTAAGAATGTAAGTTTCAAGGACGTGGAAATGCCATAATTTTTCCTCCTATTTTGTTAATTATAAAACTGCTAGCAGTGTTGCAAGCTAAATATTTTGGAAGTTTTTGAAAATTTAGACATGAGTGTTAAGTGCAAAAGGCGGTAAGCGCGGCCTTAGGAAAGTAGACAAGAAAGACAGAAAGTTAAAACGGACTATTGATGTTTTCGGATGGCAGTGTGAAAAAGCTTTTTTGAATTATACATTTTTAAACGAAAACCAGTGTTGTTAATCTTATTTGAAAATTCATAATTTTGGAAATTAGCAACGGAACATAACTTTGACTTTTCTTTATTTTCATGCATCTATTAAGTTCTCATTGGACTCTCTTGGCAGCTCATTCTTGATATGCACTTCACTGTTGAGATTGCACGTTATGCGGGTTATCCATCTCGCCATGTTCACCAAATTGCATCTGCCATAATTGCCCGAGCAATCAGGACCTTCTCCGCTAGAGGCATAAACCCACAAAGGTACTACTTCCATTATTATTTATATACTTGTTTTTCCGTCTCTTTTATACTAACACAATTAATGGTTATAATTCTCTCAGTAGTGCACTTCCCGAGGATGAATGGTTTGTTGAAACTGCGAAGTCAGCCATACATAAACTTCTATCTGGAGGTTCTGGGTCAGAAGTATCTGATATTGATGATGAAGAACATATCATCCTAAACGAAGACGATGTCTCAGATTCGGCCGACACTGTTTCTTCCGTCTCAACTGTAGAATCCTTCGAATCTTTCGCTTCTGCAAGTATGGGTGAACTCGAGAGTCCACATTTCACTGACCCTGAGGCTTAAAGTCTTCAAGTTTTGCATTCTTGACAGCTGGAAAACGGATGGTTTCTGGGGATGATTTTGAATTCGATGACATGGGTTAGATGTTGCTGAAAGTTGTACCAATCAGAGGATGAACATATTAGCAAAATGTTGTGGTAGTAGTAGATAATGAAGATGAGTAGTATGTATGTTGTATTTATGTAAAACTGTTGTATCAATGCAGATTTCAAGTTTTTCATGAAAGCTATTGCTCCTCTCTCAACTCTCAAGAAAAAATTGAATTAGTTTACACAGAAATGGAACTTCACCAGTTAAATGCGACTATGCTTTTGATAAAGTTTTACCTATTCACTCTTTAATTGTTAAAAGCGAGTAGTATGACTATGATAAAGTTATTTCGTCCGTCATCGTAAAGTTAGATTTACTATAATTGATAGTGTAAATTCAATTTGTGTTAGACGAATGTGTAACAATCTCGTCTATTCACTCTTCAATTAATTGAATTGTATTTTCGGATGTCAATCGATTTTATTTATTTATCTAAATATATTTAAGTATAATTTTGTTAAAAAAATATTTTATTTAAAATATTTATCTTATTATTAATAATCCATATGCTAAAAAGCGCGGGAAAAACTGGTGTTTATTGGACAACAAAGGCCAACTTATTTTGGCGCAAAAGTTGAAAAAGTTAGGGTTAGGGTTTAGTTTACTGTGAGACAATCAAAACCCAAAATAATGGAAGGAGAGAGAGTTGATTCATCGTTAGGGTTCATAAACCTAANAAAAAAAAAACAAAATCGGGCTAACCCGGCCCGGACCGTGCCTAACCCGGCGGGTTAGGGCTGGCGGGCCGGGCTGGGCCAGCATCTTTCCCTTAATTGGCGGGCCTAACCCGGCCCGCCTTTGTTGGCGGGCGGGTTGAGCCCAGCCCGCCAAAACAAGTAACCCGCCGCGGGCCGGGCCGGGCGGGTTACTTTTCCACCTTTAGCTGAAAGTCATCAGTGAACCTCCATTGAAGCCACTGAAGACAAGTCAAAGAGAAGTGAGAGAAGAAGGTAATGGAGAGCAGTGAAGAAGAAGATGACTTCCCAGCCATTGAAAGCATCACTCCTCAGTCCAAGATCGACTCTGTCTTCCAATCTCATACTGAAAAGGTTCCTTTTCTCTTTCAATTTAGCTCAAAGTTCGCTTTTCTCTATCTGGGTATTTTGGTTAGGAAAAGTATATGTGGGTCTCTGTTGCTTTTCACTCTAGTCAGCAATAAATCGTTGCTTGATTCGTTTGTTTTATCTCCATCGAATAAATTGGAAGTTTTTCTTTTCCTTTTTGGTTGAATTTATCTCAAAACTTGTTTTGGTTTTCTGGGCATTTCTTTCTTAGGGAAAAAAACTATGTGGCTTTGCATTGCATTTGAGATTAGTCGATGAAAACATGCTACTTGTTTCATGGCATTGTGAATCAAGATCGTTTAGTGGTTTACTTTCATTTCTGTCATGTTTAAATAATCCATTTTTAACTTTGGTTTTTGCATCCAACTGTTTGTTTTGTTATATCTTTCTGTATAGTTTACTTCTTTGTATCTGGGGTTTCTATATTCAAGTTAAAGTTGAAATATGGATCTCTATTTGGGCAAGGCCAATCCTTGATCTAGGTTGCCTGGGTTTTAAGTTAAATGTTTGGACTTGGTTTACTTGTTGATCTATGTTCTAACTGGAAGTTGATGGGCATAATGTTGCTCCATATGGACTGCCTTATAAGAAAAATAATATCGTTTCCAGCAGCAGTACAAACAGTGGAACCAATCTCTCTAGAAATATACTCAAATAAGGCCTTACATATGCAAGTTATTCTCTTCAATTTCGCTTTTTGGATATAAAATTTTGGTAGTTTGAGAATTAGCTCATTGTGTACACTTCAATCGTTAAAATTTGAAAGGTAATGTTTCTATGATACACATTGTATGTTTGATTCCTGGGTTGGCACATTTCATTAATAGATGTCTTCTCTTTTTTTCATACCAAGATGAGGACATAAAATCACTGTTTTGGGAGTTATTTACTATGATGTTTGATTTTATCATTTCTCTTAGTTTATATACTCTTATTTTTTTCCTGTGTAGAGTAAGATACTAGCACGTCTTTATTAAAAGTTAATCATCTTTATCAATGTAGGGAATTAGAAGAGTATGTTGTGAGCTGTTGGATTTGAGAGACGCGGTGGAAAACTTATGTGGCAATGTGCGGACAAAATACCTGGCTTTCTTGAGGTAATAAAGTGTCCCTATTTATGGCTCAATGAAAAATCTTGAAAGAAGTATGATGCTGATTTTCTCCTGGCATTGGAGAATGTATCTATTAGGAAGTTTCCTACTAAGGTTGTAGGAGCGTATTATGTTTGGGAATAGGTGAAACTGAGAAGTGGTTGTCTGCTCTCTTTGGAATTAAGGGTATGTTGGAAACCGTATAAGTTTTATGGAAGTGAGATTCCTCCTTGATGCTTTTTATTTACCATAATGTATTAAAACAAGTTGGCTCAGTCTGCAGTTGCTACAAGTGTTCAAACATTAAAATTATGACAGTGTTCAGGCATCAAGTTGCTCAAATTGGAGCACTAAGTGACACCAATGGAATTCTCCGATGGAATTTGACCCCTTCAGCTCAACTGATAAAGATTCCTTTTAGGGTTAAATGATACTTTTGTTCTACTAGAATTAGACTCTCATCCTTAATGCTGTATTTTTCTAAATATATTTAACTATAATTTTGTTAAAAAAAATATTTGAGTTAAAATATTTATCTAATTATTAATAATCCAAATGCTAAAAAGCGCGGGAAAAACTAGTGCTTATTGGAAAACAAAGGCCAACTTATTTTGGCGCAAAAATTGAAAAAGTTAGGGTTAGGGTTTAGTTTACTGTGAGACAATCAAAACCCAAAATAATGGGAGAGAGAGTTGATTCATTGTTAGGGTTCATAAACCTAAGACCTAACAATGGCGACGAAAGCTCGGCGGTGAATCTGAGCGGTCAGGTTCACCAACTCCCTTGCTGCATCAAATACGACGGTCCCTGCCCCGTTTCTCACTACTTCAGACCCAAATCCACCGGTATGGCTCGATTGTGTGCTTGAAATTTGTGTTTTTGTGGTAAAGTTCTGACTTTTATTGTTGTTTGTGTAGGGATTGAAGTTGATGGATTGAAAGTTGAAGAAGCTCATTTTAGAGGAAGAAAGTTGCAGGGTGTAACAATTTCACTTCCAGATGGCTACTCTGGTATTTTATTTTATGAAGTTTTATTTTTTTTATTTTCTTTTGATTGTTGGTTAATTTATTTAATTGAAAGATTTTAATTTGAATTAGTTTTGTAATCTATGTTAAAAAATGATTAGGGATGTCAATCGAGCGTGTAAGGGCGGGGATCGCCATCTCTATCCCTAACCCTATCCCCAAATTGAATAAACTGGTTTTGGGGCATTTTGTAGAGACATTTTAAGATCAAATGTTGAATTGAAGGCCATTTCAGGTTGAGGGTTAAGTTGCTAAATCTGCCATCTTAAGCTTCAATTAAAAATTTGAAGTTTTTTCCGAGATTATTTTCTATTTGACTGTTTGTTTCTTTGAACTTGACAGTACTGGAAGTTCTTGTTTTTGGGTTTTGATGCGATTTTGTGAATCTATCTTAAACTATGCCTTCTTGATATTAATTATTAGTGTGGAACTAATATGTAGATGAGTTGTCTTTTTGAATTGGACCTGTCTCAACCTTCCCGTTTTCTTGCATGATATAGTGATTGGTTGTTTCAGTTTCTGTGTTTGTTATGTTGCTACTCTTCCTCATATGAGGTTCAAGTTTCAAAAATGCCAATTCCTTGGTAAATTAGTATATGCTTTCATGAAATCCGTGGAGAGCTGGAGCCCTAAGTTGGTTGTAGCATTATGGAGTGAAATATGAAAAATTTTATTTATTTATTTTTTAAGAAAATAAGACTTAATCAGTTCCGAATTAAAACAGAAAAAGTTGTATGTTATTGGAGTTCACTAGGCTTCAAACTATATATTAGTAAAGGTGGAAAGGGCTTGGGAAATTTATAAAATTTTAACCATACGGAGAGAATTTGAGGTGGGTCTGACTCCTCGTCCAATAAGGCTTTGTTGATGGAGGTAGTTGCTGGCTCTAACTCTTCACCCGTTGGTCAAACACTCAACTCAATTGGGTCTGCTCTGATGCTATGATAGACTTTGAGGTGGGCTTGACTCTTCATCCAATAAGACCTTGTTGAATGGGAGGATTACTCCTCTTATAAACCAGTTGGCTTGAGCATGCCTAGTCCGTATGAGACTCCAACACATACTATTATTGTGATATTTATATCATGGTCAAGTTCTAGCTTTTAATTGGATTTCAATTGGCAGGAATGCCAATGGAGCTTAGATTCATAGGTTTCTCTGATTTAGACTATGGATTGGAGAAGACTCAGCTTCTTGTCATTAAGAGTCAACAAATATTTCAAAGAGGCTGTCTGGAGAAGTTGATAGCATTTTATTTTATGTGATTTGTCTCAGTTTATTGGTTTTATACAACTTGAGAAGTTATATTTAATTTACAAGTTTTGAAGAGTTCCGCTTATCTAGTTCTTGCTTTGCAGGCTTTGTTCTGGGAAAGAAAAGTACTGGCAAGAGAAAAGTTTCTGACACGTCTGAAGAGAACTCAACCTGTTGGGAGACGAATGCAAGGTTTGATAAACTAACATATTGGAATCATGACACATGTCCTACAAAAGATGATGTTTTCTTGCGTTCGTTCCATTGGTTCACCATTTCAGAAGCAGTAAGTTTCATTCCATTGTTTTGTGTTCTTCTTCATAAACTTATCTATAAGTCAAACTTCCTCTCTTTTTTATCTTCTTCGTCTTCGTCTTTCCCTGGTTATTTTATTTCATAAGGCAATACTTCTAAAATGTGTCAGACAGGCACATGAACATATGCTTAGGGATGATTTTGGATTTAAACGGTGAGAAGTTGTGATGAAAAATAAAAAATTTGTAACTGAACGTTCATTATGTTTAAGTATTTTGTTCATATATTCTCCTGCCAACTTACCAAGATATTTGTTAACTGCAGCTCCACAAGCCGGTGACAGCTGAAGATCTGGTTTCTTCATCAATTACTCTGAAAAAAAGTTGATGTATTGATTAAGGTAGTATAAAAGGAGGATGTTGTATTTGTAATATTCTGCCATTGTTTTTCTGTCTTACTTCTAAATATTTCTGTTTATAATCAACAATGTTTGTGCTTTCTCAATCTTATCACATAGACAATGGCGGAGTCAGGAATTCAATACTATTATTATTGATATTATTTTCGTTCAATACAATTATTATTTTCTTAATGAATGATAAAGGAAATAAAGGAAATCATACCAACATAAAGACACCCATAAAATAAAAATTTGTTCTATGTCAAAAGGTTAATTGATCAAGTTTATATAAATTGTGTTTTATATATATGTATAATCTAAATTTTCATTTTGTTTGTTTTTCGGCTTCGTTATGGTATAGATTTATTTAATTTGTATGTGATAGTGCTATTTATAATCTAAAATTTCATTTAGATTGGTTTTAGGTTTATTTATTTGAGGGGTAATTGAAATTATTAAAAGCATTGAGGGTCTAAAAAAGTAGTACTTTTACCTTTAACTAGCTTACAAGTTTAAATAATATTAAGATAATATTACACTTACAATTCAATCTCACCAACTTTTTTTAACTAGCTTACAAGTTTGTATGTGATTTAACAGTTTACAGTTGGTTTTTGATGAATTTTTTCGTTTGAATAATTGTGAGCTGTTATGTTATAAGAGAGGGTTTGTGAGTCAATCTTTATTGATAATATCAAACCAAACTTCTTGAAGCAAACCCTAAGCATGACTGTTAATAAAATATTCATTATTATTTCCATTGTTTGATTCTATCTTCCATATTTTCAACACCAAAAATTCTATCCCGTTTCGCACCAAACCTTTTTGCATGTTACTTTCAAATTTTATAAATAGTAGTAGAAAAATTATATGTAATTATAATATTTTTAACATAAATTTTAACAATAATTACCCTCTAAAACGAAATTAAAATTTTATTTTAATAATAAGAAGTAATTTTGGGTAAAAGAATTCAGAATTTTGTATGTTAGAAACTATTATCTAATTTTTTAATAAATTAATTATAAACTATATTTATTATTATACTATTAACGGTAACTTTTTCAAATTTGTGGCGCTCAGAAAACGGTAACCTTTTATACTACAAAAGCCCGTTTCCCGGCTTGTTGCCTCTCCATTTCTCGCTGCTTAAAAAAAAAAAAAAAAAAAAAAACGATTTTTTTCTTGATTCTGATCAAAGATTCTATTTCCCATATACAACTTCTGATAGATGCTACTGTTAAAGAGGACGGAGATTAGAAAGCTTGAAAACGAGGCACAAAAAATGGTAACTTTTTCTAAAAGGCGCCAAGGGCTGTGCAGGAAAGCTCAGGAATATGCCAACATCACCGGTTCTCACGTAGCGGTGCTGGTTTTTTCTCCGACCGGGAAGCCCTTCGTTCATGGGTCTCCTTCCTTTGAAGCCGTGGTGAGAGTTATCTGAACGCCGGCCGCCGTGAAAGCGATACGTGGGAGGGGTTGTGGGGTTGGAGAGAAGGCGGCCGCCGCTGAGAGTGTGGAGGAGCTGATGGCGGTGAAGTGATGTTAGAGGAGATCAAGAATGGTTTTGAAGAATTTAAAGGATTTGAGGAAAGAAGTTTGTTGAGTCTTTGTTGACGGTTGATTTTAATTTTAGGGTTTGGTCCAATAAAGTCTTTTTTATCATGATTTTGGGTTTTTTATTTTTGGATTAATTTAGTAATTAGATGAAATTCAATGATGGGTTTTATGGTTTTTCTGGGTTTCATTCAATTCCAATTTAATTTGTAAAGTCTAACAGGTCAATATATTGAATCATTAATTCAATAATACTCTTTTATATCTTCCTTGTTTACTTGCTTCTTTCAGTCTTGTGTCTCTGTTTCATTTACTTTTGAATTTTGCTCCCTTACTTTTTCCAATTACTTAAATGATACTTTGAATGTATATGCAGAGAATTATGGATAAATCAAATTTGTTGGTCCATTGTAACACTGTTCAGAATTTACCTTTGAACTTTTGGGTAAATTTAGTAGTATTCTGATAATGGATACTTTTGGGTTAATTGTAGTAGTATTCTGACAATGGATACCTGAATGTATAGATTTTTATTAACTGGGTTGTTAGTTCAAGTTCTAGTTTGGCAATAAACTCTGCTCTGATGCTTATTTTCAAGTTCTAGTTTAGCGATAAACCTGCTCTGATTCCATTATTATGGCTGATAAGGTGAAAGCGAATTTTGAATCATAAGTAACAAATGGTGACAGCAAATTTGTGTTTTGGTGTACTTACTAAGTTCTACAGCTGGGATGTCTCTCTGTTTATTTCGTTCCCATTCAATGGTCTTAATCCCTCATAATTTGACGGCTCGTTTGAGCTTTGGTTGTTGTTCTATACTTTTAGGTTCTGCATCTTAAATTGCCTTACAAAAAAAAAAAAACTCCTGCTGGATCTGAATCAGATAAGATATTAATATAAACTCTTCACTGAAAATCAGCCACAAGGCTCCTGAGAAAAAAGAGAATAGTATTCATAACCCTGAGTGAGATCTATAGTAAATCTGCATTATTTTGGTTGCATTTTATTTTATGTCTATAATATTTGCTCTTTAAGAGCTTTTTAGTCACTTGTTGAGTTCCAGTTCCAGCTTGAAATCTTTTCCTATTGGTAGTGAAAGATCTGGGATTTCTAGTGTACCAAAATGGGGATTGTTATTTCTACTTGCCTTAGCTACCATGTTCGCAATCAGCTTTGTTCCCATGGTAATTTTCAGTTCATGATTCTTCGATCTCTGAATCTTTTCTACTCCGATGATGGTTACTTTTTTTATTATCCACTTCTGACTCAAAGCAAAATCGCTGTTCAGAACTTCTGATCTAACAGTGAGATTGTTCTTTACTAGTTCGCTGTAAAACCTGACCAAAGTCCATTTGCCTCCCTCTTCTCCCATGCCCAGCTCTTCTCCATCATCTAAGAAAACTTCTCCAGTGCTATTTTCTTTGCTGCTGACAACCACTAAGAGTTCGAATGGTGTTTTCCGGGCTGCTGTGGTTGTCATGGCCTCTCCTTGCAAGGCCAAAATGTTACCTTCTCGAATGTGCACATTTATGTGATCAGATGGTGCAGCAAGAGTAACTTGCTTTCCGGAATTTGAACTTACCGAGTTTGAGTAGTTGAAGAGATCAAACCAATGTCCTCCTGGGAAATAGGCATCAACTGAAACTGCTCTGGGCTTTACTACAGGTGATACCATTACGCCTTTGCCTATCAGAAATTGTGTATTGATTCCATAAGTTTTGGCATCTTGAGGGAAAGAGAAGAAAAGGGGTCGTGCAATGGGGGTCCCTTTCGTATGTGCTTCATACATTAATGTGTAGAAGTAAGGGAGGAGTCTGTACCGCAGCCCAAGCACTTTCCTTGCTGATGCTGCAACTGAATCCCAAAGATAGAGCTCTTGACGCCTTGCAGACTTATCAGAATGATCTCTTGCAAATGGGTAAAAGGCACCTAGCTGCATTTGGAAAAGATTTCGAAATTAGTAGAAATAAAATCTTAACAATAACTTTACAAATCTAATATCTTAAACTCTGAGATAATGAAGATTAAAGAGAATAATTTAATTTCTACGGAGTGTTACAAGGCCTAGAAGTCTTACCTGAATCCATCGCCGGCAGAGTTCTTCATTTGTATCTCCAGAATAGCCACAGATATCAGCTCCAACCATTGGAATTCCGAAGAGCCCAAAATTCAATATGGATGGAACTGTGTATGCCAAATCATTCCATGTGGCAGCATTATCTCCAGTCCAATGTGCTGTGTACTTTCCCGAGCTTACAAAAGTTGATCTAGAGAGTATAAAAGGTCTTTTACCAATAACTTTGATCAAGGCAGAATGTGTAGCTTTGGCTTCCAGGAGTCCATAAAGGTTATGGGAATTATATTCGGTGATGTTACCAAAATGCAGTGCTGTTGCTGGAGTGGTTTTATTGTTAATTGGTCGTCGCATTCCTTTGTTGTTTATCTTGTAGGGGGGATTATCAAGGGTAGAAGATGGGATTGGAGGGGACGTGATGAAATTAGAAATCTCATTCATGTCAAGCCAAAGACCATCCATTGGGAGAATATGTCGAAATAGTTTGATCTCTCCTTCCCAAAAGGTTCCAGCAGCTGGATTTACAAAGTCAGGAAAGTAGACTGGTCCAGGCCAAACACTTCCCAAGTAAGGAACACCGTCGCGTTTTATAAAGATATCAGCTTTCATCCCTCTAATGAAGGTTCCATAGGTCTTATTCACACTGATACCTGTGGAAAACATACCTCAATTTGTTCATTGCAGTACCAAAATGATTTTGTTAGGGATGGTTCATCTAAAAAGATTATATAAACTAAAGCTTAGTAGCAATGAGTGAATTTTGGTGTCGATAACCACATACCAGGATCCAAGATGAGCACATATCTCTGACCATTTTGGTGAAGTGTATCAACAAATTTTTTCATTGGCTCTACTGGAAAGTTGATGGGATCAAGAGTGAAATCTTTATATGCATCCATGTAATCGATATCAGTCCACATGACTTCAAGAGGGATATGAGCTTTTGCATAGCCAGCAACCACAGACTCAACGTCAGACACATTTTTGTAACCCCACCGACACTGATGAAATCCTGTACATTTTTGGAAGAAAAATGATAATCATGACTCAGTATGATATTATTTGTCATTCTATAAAATTGGCAGTCAGCTCTGAAACTAGCTTAAGAGCATTTTATGATATCCCGAGACAGAATGGAAGTAGCAAAACCACAAAGAAAAAGCCAGAGTAATAACAGAGATTCTTTCTAATCTCAAAGTTCTCATCTAATTTATCAGTACCAAGTTATCATTTTGACAACTTCATCATCTAATTTGCATCTACTTGAATAATGTGCTATAACAATATATAAACATTTAGTTTCAGTTGAATGTAATCCATCATGCACCGTATAATCTCAAAGTTCTAATCTTAGTAATACGACCGCAACTTGGAAAAGATTAAACTGCTCACCGGAAAATTGACAAAACTAATTTAAATAAATCATCCACACACTATTTAGTACTTACCAAAGGACCAATACGGCATAGGGGTAGGCCGGCCGATCAGCTCTGTATACTGTTGTATCACTGTATCGGGCAAGGGTCCAGCGAAGAAATACAAGTCAATAATGCCTCCAATAACCTTATAAGTTATCCGATCACCGGTATAGACGACATCCATGCCATTACTGTTAAGGAGCAAAACACCATGAGTTGTCCCTTGAGGGGATCTGACATCAATGTAAAACGGGTGAGAGCCATAGAGATTAATATCCAGATTCGAAGATCCTGTGCCGGAATTCCACAAAGTTAAGGCCTCATTAGGAGTCAACTTGAAGGACCTCTTTGTGTGCTCCCCAAGTCCATAAAGAGAAGCCCTCTCTTTCGGCAATGAAGATGAGAATTGAATGTATTGATCCTTAAACACCAAGAAAGTGTCTGAATTTGCAGGGCTGGGAGAGGTGTCAAAGAGGATTTCACCAGAGGACTGCCGCGACACGGTAAAGCCAAATGGGGTGGTGTTATGGAGGGTGAAAACTAAATCTGAAGTGGGGTCTGAAAGCATGAGGTTTACCGGCGAGTTTGGGATGTTTTCCGGCGGTAAACGGTGAGAAGGATAAGATTGGCGGGGAATGATTTCTTCAGGGATTTCCCATCTTTTGTTTTTGGAATCTGTTATTGTAACTCTCAAGCGCTCTTTGGTTTCAAAGCTGCAGAAAATCACACACTATAATTAACAATTTCCATCATCCTCATCAATCAATCTCAACAGATTCACAATAAATTCCCATTTCATAAACTTGTAAAGCAATCAAAATCCACTCTCTAAAACTTAATTCTCTTTTCAATGCTTTCATACAAATTCAGAAATTGAAAAACTTAAACTTCAATATAAAATTCTGCAAATAAATGGCAATTAAAGTGAAGTAATATATATATATATATATATAAACCTGGCAAGAAGATTGAGACTACTAATATCAGCTCCAAACACAGAAGACTTCTTGATGAGGCCGAGTTGAGCGGTCAATGATGACTTGCCGGAGGAATCAACGTTGACAGATTGAATGGAGTAGCCATAGCCTACTGGTACTTCTGCTGCAAGAACGCGTGAATTCGGAAGATGAAAAATGTAACACAGAATCAGAAACAGAAGCAAAAACAGGTGGTGATTATGAAGATACAAAGATGATGAACTGTTTGTTGGGAACATTGTTCATTTGATGAGGAGATTGGATTAGATTAAGATGAATTGTTCTTTATTTATAGAATTTTTTGAGTGTTTATGTTTGACTCTTATCTATATGAAAGTGGCAACTTGCAACTTGCAATAGAAGCTAGAATGGTAGTTCAATGGTCCACCACTCCACTCATGGTTGACATTGACTTGCTTTTTGATGTAGTAAGGAATGATGTAGCGAAAATTATTTCTTTTTTATGTAAATATAAAACGTGACTCACATTTGTCATATTCTTAAATTTGTAGCAAAGCTATAACTCTTGAGATATTGGCTGGATAATGTTATTGATTTATGTTAGTGAAAATAAAAACTATTTTAGAGGATGAATAATATAAAAAATAAATTGAAAAGCTATTATCCGTATGCAAAATAAATTATGAAAATTGATGTTTGGCCCACCAATCTATCATATAATAAGAGAGAATTAAATCAAAAGGTGAGAATATCCACCGTCATGAAATTTCGGCAATTTAAGACTCATGTTTGTGTTTGTGTAGCAAAGTTCATGGACTATGCCATCCTGCCATCCCACTTATAAAAGTTAGGTTAATAGGTAAGAGTTCAACATTATATTAGCCTAGTTAGTAAATTCGCGAATAAAACGTAAATTATACATCCAGCTATTATTCATGAATTTTTGTATTTTATCAGCCCAACCATATTATTTGCGAACTATATGCCTCAAATGTTTTATTCACGAATTATTTTTGTATTTTTCCTGTATCTGAATTTTTGCCGAATTTTTATAAATGTATTTTTCACCATTTTCCGTATGATACCCCATAAAATTCCCATACCTTTTTTTTGTCATACCTGTATTTACTAACTAGGGTAAGTTTCTGTTGTAGACTATAATTTGAATTTTGGTTGTATTATTTATTTATTTTATTTGTTTGGAGCTCTAGTTGACTTTGAATTTTGGTTTTGTTATGTGTTTGATTTGAGTCTATAATTGAATCTTTGATATATATTGTGTTTGAGTCTGGAGATTATAATTTGAATCTCAATTATATATTGTGTTATATTATTAGGCCTAATGGTTATTGGTTAATTGAATACTTTACATTTGAAATGATATATTAATTTTAATTAAGTGGTCCATGAAAAGTACTAAAACCAGGATTGATATTGCCGTATTTTTCAAAACGTATTATTGACAATGTGCCGTATTAAACTCGTATATACCCGTACCATATTTTTCACGTATCCAAATTTTATGGCCGAATTTTTACAAACATATTTTTCATCATTTCTCGTATCATATCTGTAAAATTTTCGTACCCTTTTTTTGTCGTACTTGTATTTACTAACTAGGTATATTAGTCCAATAGGCTTTTCACATGAAACACTTTTGCGCACTTAAATGTCTTTTTCATTTTCTTTTATCTAATTAAATTCAAACATTAGACGGTCTGATATCATGTTAAATAAACATTAGCTAGTAGGTGAAAGCTCAAACTTATAATAATATAATAATTATACTCATAGCAGTAAGAATGAATCACATTCAAACAAAAGTATGTCCTAAATATTTTTGAAAAATTGAAGATTAAAGAAACCATCAAAGCACCTAAATAAATAAGAAAGCATTTGACGATTCTTAACTTTAAAAAGTGAAGTAGAAAATTAATATATTTTAAAAATCTCAGATCAACTTGGTCATATAAAAATTAATTTAAATGCATAGATAAATCCAAAGATGAAAACTCATCGTGGAAGGTTGTCCAAATCTTCTCGTTTGGTCCCTGTCCATCTTAACTTTATGTAGGGTGCACATTTTAATATATTAAAAAGTCTTGGACTGAATTTTATTGGTAAAATATTAATAAAATTCTATCCTAATAAAGTCATCGGCCATCTCTGAAGTTTGGGTGGTCAAAACAAATTTTATATACAAATATATCAATTTTTTACGATTTTGATTGAATGCAGTAAATTAGGAGTAATTATAGTGCTGAAATCATTCCTTGATTGATCATGCTTGATCTGTGCCTTGATTACGGAAATCAATCACCAGAAATTATGTGATTGTACATTCATTCCATTTAATTCTTTCCTTTGTTATACATACATTTTTTGTATAAATAGGACATATTGTAAGTAAAAATACAAGTTGAATAAAGTTTATTCTCTTCTTTCTGCTCTTAGGCATACTCGGGCGTCATTTTAGTCTCTGCCACTCTTGCCACTATCATACTCTGACATAGTATCAGAGCCACTCCAGCTGTCGCTCTTCTAATCCTCTTCTGTCCCTGCAAAGCAAAATAGATAATTAGTTTTCTTATTCTGTCCCTGCATAAGCAAACAGATACATATTTTTTTTTATCATAATGTCTCGGTAGATCAACCACTTCAAAACCAAATCCACAAGCCACCATCCAAATCATCCAGATGGCAACTAACCAAAATCCAAGCCCAAACACCACTGACCAAACCCATATTGAGCCACTGCCCAACTCACACAATGGCCCAAACCCACCTATAAGCAATTTAGGCGCAAACACAACCGTCGGCCCAAACCAAAATACAAGTAACATTGAACCAAATCAACACACTGGCCCAAACCCCTTCTCATACCCATTTGGAATACCGGGTCACAACCCGGATCCATCATAGCAAACGGGTCACAATCTCTACCCGTTCACCTTCTATATGATTCTAGGGGGCAGTTTATTAAAACAACCTCTCAAGTTTGAATTTAATTAAAAAACTATCAAGTTTTAAAGTTTTAACTAAATAGTCATATTATTGATTAAGGGTAATTAAACTTGATTAGTGCTTAATTATGATTAAAGAAGTATTATGTAATCTTTTAAAAATTATACTATATTCCCAAAAANAACGTCATCGACCATCTCTACAGCTTGGGTGGTCAAATTTTATATACAAATATATCAATTTTTTACGATTTTGATTGAATGCAGTAAATTAAAAGGAGTGATTTCAGTGCTGAAATCATTACTTGATTGATCATGCTTGATTTGTGCCTTGATTACGGAAATCAATCACCAGAAATTATGTGATTGTACATTCATTACATTTATTTCTTTCCTTTGTTATACATACATTTTTTGTATAAATAGGACATATACATGTAAGTAAAAATACAAGTTGAATACAAAAGTTTATTCTCTTCTTTCTTCTCTTAGGCATACTTTGGCGTCATTTTAGTCTCTGCCACTCTTGCCACTATCATACTCTGACATGGTATCAGAGCCACTCCAGCTTTTACTCTTCTAATTTTCTTTTGTCCCTGCAAAGCAAAATAGATACTTAATTAGGCTCCGTTTAATACACTCTTCCAAATATTATTCTAATTTTTTCAATAAAGTTAAACAGTAAAATTGGCTTATTCTCAAAATATTATTCTATATTATTCAATTTTTTTAAACCCCCATAAATTTGTTAATTTGACTAAACACCCCAAATTTTTTTTTTAGAAATTGCAAAAACACCCCAGCAACCCTTATTTACCAGATTCCGGCCACCACTGTCGGAAACGAGCCCAAATCTGGTATAATGGCGCATTGCCGGCTAAATCTGACTAGTAGTACGCCTATCTAGAGGAAAAGGCCAGATATAGCCAATCGTCAATAATAGTCAAGATATCGTCATCGTTGACCATCAACGACGGCCGTATCTCAACGACGACCATATCTTTGGTCATTGTTGACAATCAAATACGGCCAGATCTGACCATCAATGGCCAGATCTAGCCGTAGATCTAGCCTTTTCCGGCCAGATGCATGATAGATCTAGCCGAAAAAGGCCATATCGACATACGATCGGCAAGATCTAGCCGGTTATGCACCGATACAGCGACTCCAACCATCCTCCGGTGGTGGTTGTCTACTGTCCATATTTAATGGGTGGGTTGGAGGTGTTTTTGTTAACTTTTAACATTTATTATAAGGGTGTTTAGTAAATAAACAAACATAGGGGGTATTTTTGTTTTTCAAATCCTACATTATAATACCCATCCAATTTAACTTTTTTCAAAATATTATTCTAAAAAATATCAGAATAATAAACCAAACTGACCCTTAATTTTCTTATTCTGTCCTTACATAAACAAACAGATACATTTTTTTTTTTTTTTTTTATCATAATGTCTCGGTAGATCAACCACTTCAAAACCAAATCCACAAGCCACCATCCAAATCATCCAGATGGCAACTAACCAAAATCAAAGCCCAAACACCACTGACCAAACCCATATTGAGCCATTGCCCAATTCACACAATGGCCCAAACCCACCTATTAGCAATTTAGGCGCAAACACAACCACCGACCCAACTCCAACCAATGGCAACACAGGCCCAAACACAACCATCGGCCCAAACCAAAATACAAGCAACATTGAACCCAATCAACACATTGGCCCAAACACCACTACTGGCCCACACACACAATTTAGCCCATACCCACATACAGGCCCAAACCCATTCTTATACCCATTTGGAATACTGGGTCACAACCCGGATCCATCATAGGAAACGGGTCACAACCCCCTACCTGTTCACCTTTTAGATGATTCTAGCCACCGTCGGCCATTGCCCTGAACTAGGCGATGTTTTATTTTCTTCAACGTCCGAAGAGACGGAAATCACTCTCATCAAATAACCACTTATTGGTTCAGGCAATTACTCAATGTGGGCCAGGGATTTTTGACGAGCTCTTGTCACCAAGGACAAAGAGGGATTCGTTGGCAACACCGTCCCAGCACCACCTCTCAACTCATCTCTTCACCATGACTAGAAGAGGTGTCATATGCTGGTCAGATCAGGGTTGGGAAACTTCTTGTCACAAGAGCTGATGGCCAGACTTCCACCAACTGAAAACGCTTTAGAAATGTGGAATAACATTCGGGATATGTACGACAAACTTGATCTTTCCAAAATGTACACTCTTTAGCAACAATTAGCTGAGATTACTCAAGGCAACTCCAATGTCACTGTTTACTTCAACAGACTCTCAACCATATGGCATGAGCTTGACGCCACTGAAGAAAATCTCGAAGGCCCTCTGGCAATGCTCTAACTGT